TGATTCTTTATAAATATCAGCTAAGTCTTATTATCCCCATTTTAAAAATGGGGATATTAAGGTACAAAGAGTGAAATTCACCCTGTGCAGCAGGTCAGTGAATGCCACTAAGTGGTGCTTAGACACTGTTTCTGACCTTCTGAACATAGGTGAATTTGACCCAAAGAGTTTAGGTAATTTGAAAAGTCATACAAGCTTGTGACAAGAGTAGGAATAGAATCCAGGACTCCTGACTCCCCCCGACCTGTGTGTTAACTGCAAGACTATTCTTTCTGAGCCCATATCAATTGGGTGTAACACTCACTTCCCCTTGTGAATACATAACAGTTCCCTGGGAAGTGGTTGAACCACCATATCTAGAAACTTCTAAAGAAATGAGTTAAAGAGCAACAGTGAGCATATGTTGCAAGGAATAATACTGCACTGGCTAGTGGGGTGTGGGCACTGGACTAAGTGCAGCCTAATAATAATAAATAATAATAATAATAGTAATAATAAGGCCTTTCCAGGATTCTTTGACGCTAATATGCTTTGGATAGAAAGCTCTCTATTATTGTACTTTGTCCTCAGACAGAAGTAGGATACTGTGAAGGGACTCTGGTTAGCTTGTGAAGTGACCTGGTGCCTTATTGGCATAATCTCACTTCCCTGCAGAGAGAAGAGAGGATCCAGGGCTCAATAGTTACAAAAATTAAACCCAATTTGTTTTAAAAATAAGAGCATTAATACAGTTCAAGAAAGGTGGCTACAATGGAGACACTTTCCAGGATGGGCGACAGTGCTCACAAAACATACAAAAGAAAACAAAGCATCTCACGCAATACAGCCTCCCCGGACTGTTGTATTAATTTACATGGAATATATGGGCTAAAGGTGTTAGCATAACCCACTCACTGTCCAGTATTAAACCGTGTTAAACAAAGGTCCATGATTTGGCATACAGAGACATCAGCCTACTTAGTGCCATGGCAAATACACGATTAAAAATCCTTGTAACCTTTTATTAAAAGATACAGAAGAGAAGGAAAAACAGTTAAATCATTTGAAATGTAAAGTATTTAATTAAAGCTTTTAATTTAACAACATTTTCTATTCTCTTTCCTTTTAGCTGGAGAGAGGTTTAAAAGGAAAATCCACTTGTCTGACACTCTCTTAGATGCTATTAAAGATGGTGATAGCTGTCTTTTTTGGGCAAAAGAGAAGGTTAGTTGAAATGAGCTGGAGTGGATTTTGCTACTGTTAAAGGAGATCCCATTTCATCCCAGGTGGTATTTGAGATTCAGATGGAGCTGGTACAGGTGGCAATGTCATCTGGGTACCACTCTCTGGTCTAGTCTGGTCAGGACATCTCTCAGGGTATGTCTACATAGGGATAAAAGATCCACAGAAGCTGCCTCAGACTGGCGGGGCTTGGACCATGGGACTAAAAATTGCTCTGTAGATGTCTGGGTTCAGGCTGGAGCCTGTGCTCTGGGACCCTCCACTCTCACAGACTGAGCCCAAACATCTACGTAGTAATTTGTCAGCCCTGGAGCCCAGGCCCAGGTCAGCCGTGGGTTTTTATCCCTGTGCAGGCATACCCTCAGGTTAGGGTAATGGAGGCCCACGGATCCCAGGAGGTGGTGGGGGTGGCAGCCATGATGGTGAAACTCACTCCATTCTCCCCCAAAGTCTTTTTCTTTAAGGACTCACAAAAGGAATGGTGGGTGGGATAGTCCATCCCTCATCGTTTTGTTCAGCAATTAGGCCTAATAACTGACATACCACTTTTAATTCATTAATATCTGGCACCACATAATGTTTTAACAAGTATAATTTCAACAGTCCTTGGATTATATCAATGTGGTCTTTTTGGTTTAGGCTAATCCAGTCTCTGACTCTTTCACACCCATTTATAAAGTTTTTAAAATTGAAAATAACAACCTACTTTCCATGGTAATTTTCTAAGCAGGCAAAAGTTATAGACCAGTTGTCACAACAGGACCCCCAGTGAAAAAATCAGAGAAGACAGACTTTCAAGGAAGCAATTCCCTCATTCCCCAGTATAATAACAGGGCATTGTGGATATACATCCCACCAGTATCTCGCACTGACCATTGTCAGAGACAAAATACAGGGCTAGATGAGCCTTTGGTCTGTTCCACTATGGCAAAAGCTGAGAGAGAATAATGGATTAGATACACCAGACATGACCAGGAGTCCATTTGTCCAGGGTCTCTTCATCTACTGCACCACTACTGGATCAGATCAATGGTGCAGTAGATGAAGAGACCCTGGACAAATGCACTCCTGGTCATGTCCGGTGTGTCAGGAGCTTGATACAGACCATATGATGGTCTGACCCTCTGTGGCAGGAAGTGAGCTACATTTGACTTCCTTCTGGTATGGTATTTCTTATGTTCCTTGTTGGATTGCTCTCCCTTTCTCCATTAGAAATGTGAATGAGGTGTTTTCTCACCTTCTCCTCCTCATTGTCAATCACAGCCAGGCTGCCTGCCTGTGAGTTGCAGTACCTCTCGCTATCACTCCAGTTTTTTTTCTTCTCTGAGAAGTAGTAGCATTTCCCGTGGCGCAGAACCCATCCAAGTGGACAGTACTCACACTGGGCATGTTCTACAGGGTAAAGAAAGAGTCCTATAACGAGATGAATGGAGTATCTCCACCCTCCTTTTTCCCTCTCATTATCCAGCTCCCTCTCTCTTTCACAGACCATCCTTTCTTCTCAGATGTGGAACTTGACATGGCAATCCCTGCCTGTGTCTACTCAAGGCTAGACTGCAGGAACACACACTACCTGGGGACTCCCTGAAAAACCAGCTAGATGCTTCACCTAATACAGAATGCAGCTGCCCGCTTTCTGAAGGGTGCAGAGCAACAGCAGCTTATTATACCCATGCTCCTTTCTCTTCCTGAGGTGCCAAGACATCAAAGCATTGATCATCACCTATAAAGCGGTTTCTAGGACCCACCTCTCTCTCTCTCTCTCTCTGTCCAGTCACTGCACCTATGCTCAGCAGGAATGCTCCTGCCGCCTGCCTGAGGGGGGCTACTCCTGGGCACCATAGATAGGATGTTCCTGTCCTCACCTCTGGAATTCACTTCTGCTAGAAAAAATATCTGATCTGAGCCTGGCTCCATTTGAAGTGTGATGTAAGATCCATCTCTCTGTTCAGACTTTATAGGAAGTGCAGGTTGTGGGAATGCCATTCAGGCCGCTAGGTGGTCCACCCCATGTCCTTTTTGGGTAGCCAGTTTGGTGCTGCAGAGGGTGATAGTGTATTTACTGTCTATTTGGGGAGAGGGGGAAATGTTGTTTCTAAACCTGCTCTAAATTATTCAAAGTGCACCAAGGTACTACAGTGATTAGGGCTTTATAAATGCCTGCAGTCATAAAACTATGAACTATTATTAATAAAGATACAGGTCTCTGCATGCTTCAGTGATGCACAGGAAGGAGAATATCACATGAGGCGGTTACCTGCTTTCCCACTCTCTAACTCCCCACAAAAATGTTCCTTTAATTTGCCCAGCATCTTCACAGTACTTCTGTGAAGGTCATCGGACGTATTCTGGTTGTTTCCACTGAGTTCCTCAGATAAATTCTGGGCACTGTTGAGGCAGCTGAGACTAGAGCCTTGAAAGACTTAAATAGAAAACACACAGAGATATAAATACATGTAATGGATTAAGCAAAATGAGTAGCTGTGTCACACGGCAACCTCGCTTGGAGTGCCCTTCTACAGCAAGCCACAGCATGAGAGGCACACCTGCCTCAGTTTCCCCTTTCTCAGAGTCCCCAGTAAATAGTCCAAACAATCTTTGAGTACAACCATAGTCCTTGCAGGGTTAATTACCAAAGTCCCATGCACAAAACCCATAACCCAAGTCCCATAATCATATTTCCAACATCAAATCAATCAGCGTCCCTCACCACAGGCTCTGGCATCCCTCACCATGCCTCTCTCCCAGCCTTCTGCCCTCTCTGTCCCTTCGGCTTCAGGTCTCTGGCTCCATGAGCCAGCAGGCATCTCCCTCTGCTGCTCTCAGCCTTAAGCTCTCTCCTGGTTTGTCGGTCTAGCTCAGGAAAGTCAGCTAGCCAGCCCCTCCACTGCCTTCCTAATAATTCCCACCTTTTTCCAGGGAAGGCCTGCAGAGAGCTCTCTGCTCCCTACAGGCTCTACCAGACAACTCCTCCCATCTCCTGCTCTCTGGGAGCTCTGACTCACCAGGTTTCTCTCCCTCTCAGCCCAGGTGCCCTCTTTTGGGATGGTGCCCCTAACCCCTGTTTGCCAGAAGCTTGGAATGGGTGACAGAGGATGGATCACAGTCACTTGATGATTACCTGTTCTGTTCATTCCCTCTGAAGCAGCTGGCATTGGCCACTGTCAGCAGACAGGATACTGGGCTAGATGGACCTTTGGTCTGACCCAGTATGGCCGTTCTTATGTTCTTTTAAAACAACTGGGAGACAGCTGATGAGTCACAGAGGCACTGGCCCTGCTCACTCCTAAGGGCAGTGTCACTCTGTGATGAGCTGATAGAGGAAAAATGAGGCCCATCTAATATTGCCCTTTTTTTGCCACAGATGGCCTGATTGTCTCTCCGAATTGCCTGTGGCAGAGGTTTGCTTTTATGCCTCAATCATTGCTTTACACTTGTCTCATCTGGCCAAATGGACAAGTAGCAGGAGCAGTGAATGAAGATGCCAAGCTTTTCTAAATGCAAACTCTTTCCCTCTTCAATGGGCTCTGTTTTCCTTCCATCAATTAAAATGGCTGAGCGCTAGAAATCTCTAGCTGTTGTGTTTCCAGTGTAATATGCAGGGCAGATGGATTAGGGATGGAAGATGTGATCATAAAAATGGCATGTCTCACCCATTATTGAACTTACCCTCCCCTTCTTGGCTTTGAAACAAGGAGCCAGAACTTACTCAGAACAACCAAACCTGTCACAGTCCCAAGCAGAATGATCACCGCTACTCCTAGGGATATGGTCAAGGGATGGCAAAATGGAGAAGACCTGGAAGAAGCTGCAAACACAGAAGGAGCTGTTAGCATAGTTTAGAATCAGGGGTCGGCAACCTTCGGCATGTGGCCCATCAGGGTAATCCGGTGGCGGTCCGTGAGACATTTTGTTTACGTTGCCTGTCCGCAGGCACGGCCCCCACAGCTCCCAGTGGCCGAGGTTTGCCGTTCCCAGCCAATAGGAGCTGTGGGAAGCAGCAGCCAGCACGTTCCTGCGGCCCACTGCTTTCTGCAACTCTCATTGGCCAGGAACGGCAAACCGCAGCCACTGAGAGCTGCGGGGGGCCGTGCCTGCGGACGGTCAACGTAAACAAAATGTCTCATGGCCCACCAGCGGATTACTCTGATGGGTGCGTGCGAAGGTTGCCGACACCTGGTTAGAAACAGGAAGAGACCCACAAAGGCAAAGGCCAGCTGAGCACTTTTATTCATCCTAACCCATAACAGAAGGCAAGGGGGGCACTTGAAAGGAAAGAAAGTTAGAATTGCCCAGTTGAAGGCACTGACCTGGGTTACTACTGAGGCAAATAGCTCTGTAGGAATTAAAATATAAGAATGGCATCTGCAGTGACTCTACAAGGGTTACATATTTCCCTCATTCCTAGTGCTTCAAGGCATAAACTACTCCCTGGGGGTCAGGAAGAAATTTCCTTTCATGGTATATATAATGGAATGGTGCTTCACATGGGGCATTGTGGATGTTTCAATCTCCTCTGAAGCATCAGAGGAAAAATGAAATCCTGTTTAGCTCAAAGAGGAATTCGTTTAGGGAAGTTCTATGGCCTGTGTTATACAGGTCAGTCCAAATGATCCCAGTGGTCCCTTCTAGCCTTACAATCTATGAATCTATGGACTAAGTATTTTGAACTATGAACCTATACCATCAAGCCTCCCATAGTCAATGAGCTTGTACCAGCCTCCTGGTTGGAGAAAGAGGACATTTCTAGCTCTATTTTGTTCTTTGTTGGTTTACTTTCAGTGAATACAGTGTTGGTGAAAAGTGCTGGGTTGTGAGTCCAGGAACCTGAAGCTCTTTGTATCTCTCTCCAAACAGGTATAGTATGAGCAATGGCAGTACAAGTTTCCAACACATCAGCCCCCCCATCAAAGTGACTTGATCGTGATCCCTCTTCCAGGGCTGAGTAGGGAATTCGGTCTGTGTAACCCATCCATTCCTTGGGAGATAGCCAATTAAAGGTAAGCAATCCCAGCCATGGGAGTGGGTTTTGTGATGTGGACAATTGTCCAATCAGGTATTAGACTGCAACCCTAAATAATTTCACACAATGCACTGAACAGCTGGCAGATGGGAATGAATTCTGATCACTCACTACTGACCTGCATAGAATAGATAGGAACTGATGGCACCTAAAGCTGAGTGGCTCAGTGTCCCCTTCCAGCCCCCCTGAATTACTCAATCTCCACATGCATAGGGCAACATTGGAAAAGATGACTTCTGCAGAGGTGAAGGCTCTATTTAACCCATTCCCCATGACCTGAGAGTGGATGTAAACTGTGCCCTAGAGATAAAAGTTTCTGTATGCTATCTCCTTGAGTCATTCAATCCACTGAGGTGGAGCTGCATGGCAGCTTGTGCTCTAGAAGTAAAAATAATTGCAACCCATTTCCCACTACTCCCAAATCATTCAGTCACACCTCACCCTCTAAATTCTTACTCTACATTCTCTAGGTCTGTGATACAAATATACTTGCTTCCATTTTACTCAGAGATCAGATAAGTTACAGCAGTGGTTCTCAACCATAGGTACACAGAGGTCTTCCAGGGGGTACATCAACTCATCTAGATATTTGCCTAGTTTTACAGCAGGCTACATAAAAAGCACTAGAGAAGTCAGTACAAATTTAAATTTCATCCAGACAATGACTTGTTTATACTGCGCTATATACTATACACTGAAATGGAAGTACAACACTTATATTCCAGTTGGTTTATTTTATAATTATATGGTAAAAATGAGAAAGTACGCAATTTGTCAATAATAGCGTGCTGTGACACTTTTGTATTATTATGTCTGATTTTGTAAGCAAGTAGTTTTTAAGTGAATTGAAACTTGGGGGTACGCAAGACAAATCAGACTCCTGAAAGGGGTACAGTAGTCTGGAGAGGTTGAGAGCCACTGAGTTGCAGTCCTTTCCTTCTGTAAACCGCTCCCCAAATATTTGCTAGATGACCACTCTCCTAAGAGAACAGCGAAAGATGTAATTAGCTTTGGGTTATTAATTGCCCTAAAGTAATTTTTTTCTCTGTTTTTTAAGGATCACATTTCTGTTTTGCTGCACTGGGATAGCACACGCCCGCACGCTCTCTCTCTCTCTGTGGAGCTTTAGCTGATGTTTACATAAATGGGCAGGAACTTGTGGGTTAAGGCACCATTTTGTGATGACTTCCTGATATACTGACTTTATAACTAACATGTATTAATTATTATTAAATTATTAAATATTAATTTATCAAAGAGTAACCCGTGGAAGGGTGACAAATCCTATCAGTGGCTTCAATTGTGCCAGGGAAAAGTGGTTACCTAGTCATTCTCTTCAAAAGTGTTTACAAAAGCAGCCGGTATAGGCTAGGCATATTAGATATTATCTGATGTGCAAATGGGGCTCCTGTAAGGCTGTTAAGACTCTTGGCCTGACTCTCCTCTCACTTATTCTGGTGTAAATCAGGAGTAACTCCACTGTCATATGAGTGAAAGAGGACTCATGCCCTCCCTGTTCAAAGGATTCTAATCTATCTGTGGTTATGGCATTTTCAAATCTCATTAAATAAAAATATACTGAAAATAAATATGCCTATGCACCCTTATAGCACTTTTGATTGAAGGGTCTCAAAACGTTTTATAAATATGAAGCTTCACCACATCCAGAAACAAGTACATTTTACAGATGGGGAAACTGAGGTATAGAAAGTTTAAAGAGCATGCTTAACTGGAGGTCATGCAGCAAGCCATTGGCAGAGTTGGATAAAGACCCAAGAGGTACGTCCAGGGCCGGCGCTTCCATTTAGGTGACCTAGGCGGTTGCCTAGGGTGCCAGAATTTGGGGTGCGGCATTTTGCCGCCCTTGGAGGCAATTCTGCGGCGGGGGGTCCTTCTGCGCTCTAGGACCCGCCGCCGAAGTGCCCCGAAGACCAGAAGGACCCCCCACCTAGGGCGGCAAAAACCCTGGCGCCGCTCCTGGGTACGTCTACACAGCAAGCAGAAACATGCGGCAGCAAGTCTGAGAGCCTGGGTCTATGGACTCAGGCTCACGCTATACTGCTAAAAATAGCTGTGTAGAAAGAGCCTAAGCTCCAGCCTAAGCCTGAACATCTACACAGCTATTTTTGCACTGGTGGCATGAGCCCTGCGAACCCAAGTCTTTAGACCCAGACTCGCTGCTGTGGGTTTCTGCTTGCCATGTAGATGTACTCAAGCAGTCCTGACTAGAGCTGCACAAATAACTGATCTTTTGGTTTGGTGGCAGTTAAAAAAAAAAAACACACGGGAAAAAACTGGTTTAGGTTGAACTGAACCTGATTTGATTTTTTTTTAATTTTTGGTGACTCAATAAAGGGTGTTCTGGCTTTGTTCCAGAGCACGGATTCAAAGCCAGATCACCTGCATCCCACA